GGAATTCCTTGAACCTGCCAGAGGGCATTCCCCTGGTCAAAGTGATGTCATTCACATTGGTGTTCACAGATGCATCCCTCTCTGTCTGGGGAGGGACCTGCCTGTCACAAACAATTGGAGGTGCGTGGCTGGCCGGCACGTCTTGTCACATAAATGTTTTGGAACTTCTCACAGTAAAGAAAGTGCTCAGACATTTTGCCCCCACTGGTTCAGGGTCATCACTTGATGATCCACACAGACAACAGAACCGCAGTGGCATACATAAATCGCCAAGGTGGCGTTTGTTCGGCTCAGCTGCTGAACGCAGCCAGGAAAATGCTCTGCTAGGCACGCACACATTTACGTTCTATCAGAGCAGTTTATATCCCAGGCGTTCTAAACAGAGGAGCAGATATTATGTCGAGAGGAGGCCCTCTGGACAGGGATTGGTCTCCTTATCCAGATCTAGTCTCGCAAATCAGGAGCAGGTTCGGGAAAGCGGAGGTGGACCTGATGGCCACTCAGGAGAAATCTCAATGCGCCCTATTCTTCTCCCTAAACCCACGGGATGCTCCGCCACTGAGAGTGAATGCGTTTGCACATAAACCATGGCCAAATACGCTGATGTATGCCTTCCCTCCAGTTCCCCTGATAACAGCACTGTTGGAGAAGGTGAGAGAGGAAAATCTGAAAATTATTCTGATCGCCTCAGAGCGCATGAACACCTCGTGGTTCCCGGTTCTGCAGCAGCTGACGGGTCAACCGTGGAAGTTGCTGTGGAGAGAGGATGTACTCCTGCAGGCTGGAGGAGCAATCAGGAGCCCTCCTATAATAGGTCAGCCCCTTTGGGTGTGGCCGCTGAACGAGAACGCTTAGAAAAATGTGTTTTTTTTCCAAAGACGTAATATGTACCATCCAGGGGCACGTGCAAAATCCACTATGGCTGTTTACGTTTCTAAATGGGCTGCTTTTCAGCAATGGTGCATAGAAAAGGAGGTGGACTCGACTTCATGTTCCCTGGGCTGCATTTTATCCTACCTGCAACTGCTGTTGGACAGAAATTTAGCTTTCAGCACAATTAAAACTTATGCTGCAGCAATCTCTTCCTGTCATGAAGGTTTCAACGATAGAACAGTTTTCAATCACCCTTTAACAAAACGTTTTCTGAAAGGTGCACGCCGGCTCAGGCCAGTGATATGCGACCTGGCACCACAGTGGGATTTAGTCTTCGTTCTCGGTGCACTAACTAAAGACCTGTTTGAGCCCTTGGACCAGATACCTTTGAAGTATCTGTCACTCAAAACAGCCCTGTTATTAGCTCTGACGTCAGCTAAAAGAGTCAGTGACTTGTCAAAACTGTCAGTCGCTCCTTCTTGTCTCGGAATTCAAGGAGATGGGAGCTCAGCAGAACTCCGATCAAATCCTGCTTTTATAGCCAAAAGCATAACAAGTTTGTTCAGGTCCAGAATCGTTACACTGGATGGGTTCTGTCCCCCTCCCCATTAGGGCTGGGTACCTTTCTAAAAAAATAGGTATCGGAACCGGTGTTGGTACCTTCACTTCGGTGTCGGTTCCTGGACGGTTCTTTTTCCGGTACCAATTTTGTAATTAATATTAATTCTAACAAGAATAAAATTACATTACACATTACAGTACATGTTGTGAATTTTATTTTTTAACTTTGGTATGCAGTTTTCTTACATTAAAATAAACAAATAATTTCCAGTTCAAAAGAACAGTTGCAAACGACAAGTGACACGTCAGTGTCTAATGCTCACTGCTACACACTGAGGACCTTTTCACTGAACAGTTTTTCTCGAGAAACAACATGTCTGCTTTCTCTAGACACAAACAAGCCCACTCCTGGCTGATGGTGTCTCCAGCAGTAGAAAATGTTCACTCTGAGGCTGTAGATGATGATTGTTGCACACACAGACACCTGGTTGTCAGTTTGATAGCACTGACATATTGTCCCTCACATTCCACCAGCAGGTCACTGGATTCACTGAGGTTAGAGTTGATGCAGACTTCTGCACCTCTGTGTCTCTTCCTGAATCTTCTCTGTGGTTCTCTGGGGTTTAGGGCTCTGATCATCTCCTTAATTGACATTAGAACACAAAACATCAACAATAACATGGTTGTGTTATTATTGCTCAAAAAACATAATCTAGGCTGAGAGATAAAAGCTTAACTGGTCAACAATATCCTTTACAGCTTAACTTACCTCCACCATGCAGCTCCACTGTAGAAAAGACGACAAACTTTTAACAACAAAGTCTGTGATTGTCCTGTGGCCCCCACCTCACTTTTCTTTTGTCTCTGTCTTCACATCTGGGTCAGAGGCTCCTGTGAGGAGAACATTAACATAAACAGTGAACATTAGGTGAACTGTTTAAGCAGCTGACTGGATAGATGAACACATTTTTACAAGCTAAGATTTATGTTACTGTCAATCTTTAGTTAGCTTCCGAGTTTAGCTATCTACGTAGATAAAATAAATTTACACACTAATATCTTAAAGTTAGTGTTATTTCACCGCAATGTACGTGTTAAGCTGCAGTAACGTTAACAAACGTAAACTCACCAGCTGAAACACAGACACAGAGCCATCCTCGGGAGTTCTTTGATAAAGAAGAGTCCAGCCGTGGAATGTTGATTCAGTCCGTTTAACACACAGACTGACTCACGCTGAGAGGAGGAGGGGGGAGGCTGCTGTCCGTCTGTCTTCTTGCAGAGACACATGGAGCAACTTTCTGCTCGTGTGTCGTCAAAGCCGTTCGACAACACACGCTGCACACGTAAACCCCGTCTTTGGGCATCACCAGCACCATAGACATACATTATACATAGATTAGGTGAGGCAGCTCAATACAGCTCTGGGTGTAAACACGTAGTCTGTTTGCTATATGTCTGGTGTTTTACCTGCCTGCATGCTGAAACCACGTAACACCTTACAACCAATACCGAAACTTGACACGAAAAAAGAGTGACGTTTCAATCCTTACTCCGACCGGTGCAGTTCGGTTGGTGCCATTTAAGAACCTCTTTTCGGTACTCAGCCCTACTCCCTATAAAACTATGGAGGAGGAACATATTCACTTGCTCTGTCCAGTACACGCACTCAGGTGTTATGTGACACGCACAGCCGCAATGCGTAAATCCAATCTATTGTTTGTACATTTCAGGAAATGATCACTTTTTCAGCCTTTATCTTCTCAGCGTCTGTCACATTGGTTATGTGAAACTATATCACAAGCCTATAGATCTTCTGGCCTTCAACCACCTGAAGGACTCGGGGCTCATTCCACCAGGGGGATTTCTACCTCCACAACTCTGCACAGAGGGGTGTCTATGCAGGACATCTGCTCTGCGGCTTCATGGTCATCACCGACCCCATTCATCCGTTTTTATTTACGAGATGTCTCCAGCTCTTCGCTGACACATTCAGTTTGCAGTTATGTCAGAGTGATTTTTCACAATCACACAACTATATAAAAATATAAAATATAAAAACAACAAACAATAAAACAACACAGCCCTGCTCTGTCATTATTAGTGGGCATTTTTTTTTTCCCTACAATTATTTGTTCAAACAGGAAAATTCCTTCTTCCTCATTGGAAATTTTTCCTTCTCTTATTCCTCTATTGCCTGATATGAATAAACATTCCTTCAGTTAAGATCAGGCACAGAGGCTGCACGCCTGTAATCTAGTACGCATCAGGTACATGGATCAATGGTGTGTAATACTTTTGAATAAAGAAAGAGGTTTAGGCAGATATCAGGGTGTTTTTGATGGTTCTCGGACAGACCCAGTGAGGCATGGACCAAACCCTGCTCCGCCCTTTAAACCCAATAGCGACAGCTTTTAAAGGGCGTAGCTTACACGAAATAGAACGTTGATTACGTATTGTAACCCCAGATTCTATGAGTGTAAGTGTAGCCCTTTAAAAATTGGACCTCACTGGCTCTCAAATGGCTGAAGAAAAGAGTAAGCCTTTGGGAGTCGATCTCTGGTCCAGATGCAATTTATAATAGACCGGGTGGAGCTCACACAGCAGGTGGGCGTGGACTAGAAGTTTTCAGTGTTCAGCGCGCTGCGCGCGGGTAAGCCCAACAGCGACAGATTTTAAAGGGCTACGCTTCCACTCATAGAATCTGGGATTACAATACGTAACCAACATTCTCCATATTGGCCAGCCCGCTTTTCATTGTGACTTTCTGAACACAGTTAATTCATGATTTGAAGTAAGTTGGACGAAGCAGAGCTCAGCGAGGGGAATACTTTGCTATGATTGGTCAAAAAAGATTGGAGTACGTCAGTTTCTGTGAAACAGAGGCAATCCGCAAATCTTGACCAGACCCGCCCCACAGAGAAAACCCCACTCCTCATTTGAATGTAAGAACATGAAATAAAAAGTGCTTAAAATGAAAAACGGGGTTAAAAAATAAAAGCCCCTGAAATATGTAAAGTAGCTTTACAAAATAAAAGTGTCACAAAATAAAACTCCATTATTAAATAACATTTTGAATGAAATGGCTCTCCATAGCATTACATTGATTTTTTTTCAGAGATAATCCTGGTTTAGGATTTAAGTCTTAACAGCTTCAGGGTAGAAGCTTTCCTCAGCTCTTCCTCATTTTAAACATCTGTTAAGTTCATGGCTAAAATCAATGCAGACACGTTCCTGTTTTTAGTGTCTTACACTGTTTTATAATGTAGCATGTTTTTTATTTTGTTTTATATTACTTCATTTATATACTTTTTCTTGTATATGCTTTCATATGATATTGTATTGTTGTGTGCACCTCATTTATGTTTTTTGTTTAAAATAGGTCTCTCTTGTAAATGAGTCCTCGTGACCGAATGAGACTAACCTGTATAAATAAAGGTTGAATGAACTACTCAACTATAGGAACTAAAAACTTACACTCATTATCATTTTATTAAAATAAACCAAATCTCTAATTACAGCTGAGTTGTTGTTGTCAGTGTTTTTCATTAGGCCTGTTTTGTTTTCAGTTCTACATGAAGGCAGGGGCGGTTATTCAGGAGGATATTTCAGAGGCAACGCTAATTATTGGAGTAAAGAGACCGCCAGAAGACAAAGTTATACCCAGGAAGACCTATGCCTTTTTCTCCCACACCATCAAAGCTCAAGAAGCCAACATGGGTCTTCTGGATGATCTGCTAAAAAAGGTGAGCTACACATTATTCCAAGGCTGCTTGTAGATCCCTTCTGCTACAGCTGCTACAACTACCACTGTGCTGCTGCTACTACAACAACTACTATTTCTTTTACTGTCTGTGCCTGCTACTAAGATGTGGCTTGCTGCTACCATTACAGCTGTGTTGCTGCTAACTCTGTGTTGCTGCTACTACAACTACTACTTTTACTGTCTGTGCCTGCTACTAAGATGTTACTGCTGCCACCACTACAGCTATGTTGCTGCTAACTCGGTGCTGTATAGAGCTAGCTCTATTACTGCGGCCGAAAGCTCCAGTCTTGAAATGGTTATCACTTTAGTAGGAACGACTCTGGCTTTCCCCATTGCAAGGGTGAATTGTACTTTTCCCGACCTTGTCACAGTTCGTAAGTATGAGCACATGCCATAATCATTTGCCACTGGCATCAGAAAAGCTGTGTAACTCAAACTGCCAATCTTTGTTGAATGTTGATGGGATGTAACAACGTGGCATCTTTATTGTGGACAGGTTCTGGAGGTCTCTGAGCCAAGCTTCCCATTGAGGCTTGAGATCTTCCGGAAGCAACTCATCCCAATCCATCTTTTCCTGGCACATTCTTTCGAGGATTCTTTTACCTACTAGAATAAATGAAGTAACAAATCCAAGTGGGTCGAATATAGAGGCCACAGTGACGAGCACTCTTCTAATAAAGGGGTTGGCTTTTACAAGAACTCTGAAGCGAGACCTGTCTGAGGTTACACACCATTGAACCCCTAAGGCTCTTTCCATTTTTTTTCCATCCATGTCTGTTGCTCCAGTTGCACATTCTTCTTTTGGGATAGTAGCAATTACTACTTTTCTGTTGCTAATAAACTTGAGTAAGTGCAGCTTTTCAGTGTCGCATAGTTCTCTGGCTTCCTTTACAATCTGAATAGCTTCTTGGTCCGAGTCCACACTTGCCAACCCATCATCCAAATAAAAGTTGCGTTGTATGAACTTCACAGTGGCTTGGTTAAACTTACTTTTTCCTTGAGCTACCAAATGCTTGAATGTGAAGTTTGTGCATCAAGGCGAAGATGCTGCGCTAAATAAGTGTACTCTCATGCAAAACACTGATGGTGGCTGATCCAGGTTACCGTCCTCCCACTATAGGAATCTGAGATAACCCTGGTCTTCTGTAGCAACATGAAATTGATAAAACGTGTTCTACATCGCACATGTTGGTCACATGTCCTTTCCTGAAACGACACAGGACTCCAACAAGTGTATTTGTGAGATCCAGGCCTGACAGGAGGTGCTCATTTAGAGAGGTGTTCTGAAACTTGGCTGAGCAATCAAAGACGACACAAATCTTATTAGGCCTCTGAGGATGGTAGATGCCATGGTGAGGAATATACCATGCTGGTTGGTTATTTAGTTCAGCCTCCAGCACTTTCTCAGCATCACCTCTCTTTATGATATCTTGCATGAATGCCACATAATCTTTAAAGTAGCATTCATCCTTCCTGAGACGCATTTCCAGACACCTAAGTCTGTGTTCTGCACAAAATTTGTTGTTTGGCAGTTCAGTTCTATTTCGTATAGGCTTCGCCCTTTAAGAGTTGTCGTTGGTGGGTTTTATCCCGTCATGCAAAGCATCGCACTGAAAAGTTTAGTCCACGCCCACCTCTTATGTGGGCCCCACCTGGTCCGTATAAATTACGTTAAGAGCGGGTAATCAGCTCCCATTTTTCTTCAGCAAGCTAATAGCACTGTCAGAAGAATGAAGAAGGAAAGTTGTCCAGCTTTGACTGGTACAACCTTTGCTAAGGCTGCCTGGGTCTCCGCCACGCCAACCTCCTGCTGTCCCGGTGAGTTCTTCCTCCCCAAGGAGAAGCAGACGAGCAGCCTTGTTTCAAGGTAAGCGCCGAGGAGTACTTTTCCGTGGCTGGCCGCTACCCGCTGGATGACACCATCGCCTTTTCTAACGTTTTTTCCTAGCGGTAATCGAATGATTTCCTCGAAAAAGACGATGTTAGCAGCAGCCCTGCCGAATGTTTATTTTGTGGCGGGCCGCTACCTGCTTGACGACGCCACAGCCGTTTCTATCCTGTTTGTCCTTGCGGTAACCGAATGTTTTCTTCAAAGGCGATGTTAGCAGCAGTCCCGCCGAATGTTTTTCCATGGAGGGCTGCTACTCGCTGGACGACGCAACCGCCTTTTCTAACGTGTTTTTTCTCGAGGTAAATAGGATGATTTCCTCGAAAAAGGCGCTGTTGGCAGCAGCTCCGCTGAATGTTTTTTTCTGTGGCGGGACGCTATGCGCAAGACGACGCCACCGCCTTCTTTGACGCAGAGTCACACAGTGAACCAAATGACTCCTCCGAGAAGGCTATGCGGAGCTGCCCCTTCCCTCCTGGAGAGCGTAGTGACGGAAGACGAGTGGCCGAGTGCATGCTCATCCACCTCGGATCTTCCCACGTCAGCGACTACACCGCTCCCAGCCGTCGTGCCCTCCTCTCGGAGCTGCCTGACATAATCCAGGAGGATGCTGACACAAGGGACTTTCCGTCCCTCACCTCCGTCTGCCCTGATCGGATGATCTGGCGGCAAGGTTGGCTCTGCCCGGGCTCATCGCCCTGACTCCATCTGGCCTCGCTGTCCAGTTGTGACATCACACTGGAACAAGGCTGCAGCTGGGCTGGCAAGCTGAAGACAGCCGTCTTCACCTTTGCCTCCATCTCCAGAGTGG